TGGGTACTACCGCCCTGAAGCAGTTGGTCTGCAGGCCTAGTTGTCGCTTCGGGGGAGTGCACCCACACCCGGCCCTGTTTTCATTGCTTGCCAGCTATATATGTTTCCTTTTTGCAACGAAGGCTTCCCGCGAAAACATACATAAATACGCACTGGAGCACATGTTCCTCGCATCTCGAGAGGCCTTTTCGGCCTGGGCCGGCTACTACCCCCTCAAGGCATACATGCACTAACACAGGGTATTTTTTTATTCCAGCATTCCAATCGGCGGCCAGCGACGAGCGGCCAGCTACATTATTACATTTTTTGCATGAATGAATTGCAGGTCCCCATTTCTTATGTGTTATCGCCGTAGCTCATAGTCGTAGTCCCGACGTTAGACGGACGACGTTTAGTCGTTCCGTCGTCGGGACGGAGACCTTACCCCAACTTTACGTAGTCGTAGTCCCGACGTTAGACGGACGACGTTTAGTCGTTCCGTCGTCGGGACGGAGACCTTACCCCAACTTTCTGTCTGTAGTCGTAGTCCCGACGTTAGACGGACGACGTTTAGTCGTTCCGTCGTCGGGACGGAGACCTTAGGCTGCGGGGGGCGTCCGCGTGTCTGTTCGGAATTTCTGGAGAGTCGCCCTTTTTCGCCGTGTCGTGCGCGGTTTCGGAGCTGCGTCGTTTTCGCTAGCTCCGTCGCCGTGTGGGAGCCGCGGTCGCCGGTTCGCGTCCCGTCGTCGTCGCTTTTTTTCGTTTTTTCGCACCGCACCGCACCGTGCCGCATCACACCGCATCGCACCGCACCACACCTGGGCCCGCGCAATGCGCTCCGGAGCATCGCCGCGCACCGCTTCGTGGTGCGCGCTGGCTCTGTCGCTGTGTGGGGGCCGCGGTCGCCGGCTCGATCCCGGCGCCCGCGCGTCTTTCTTTTGTGTTTTTCGTTCGGGAGCGCTAGCTTCGTCGCCGCGGGAGTCCACCTCGCCGGTCGCTTCCCGTCGTTGTCGTTTTTTTTCTTTTCGTTATGCAGCGCACCGCACCGCAAGCCGTACGTCTTCCTGCGTTCGTGCGCTACGGACTGCACCGCACCGTGCCACACCTGGGCCCGTGCAACGCGCGCCGGAGCATGGCCGTGCGCCCTTCGTCGGGCGCGCTAGCTCCGACGTCGAGTGGGAGCCCGGGTCGCCGGTTCGACCCCGGCGCCGGCGCGTCGTTGTGTCTTTTTTTTTACGTTTACGTTGCGGCTCGCTGGCTTCGTCGCCCGGCGCCCGCTTTCTTATATTTTTCGTTCGGGAGCGCTGCCTTCGTCGTCGCGTGGTTCGTTTTTCGCGTCGTCGTCGTTTATTGTTCATTTCTTTTCGTTCTGGACCGTGCACTGCACACCGCGTCGTCCCGGACTGCACTGCTCCACGCCTGGGCCCGCGCAATGCGCCCCTGAGCATCGCCGTGCACCGCTTCGGTGTCCGCGCCGCACCGCACTGCACCGCGTTGCACCGCACCGCGCCACACTGCGTGTGGCAGTGCATCGCACTGCACCACACCTGGACCCGCGCAATGCGCCCCGGAGCATCGGCGCTCACCGCTTGTGGTGTGCGCTAGCTCCGACACTGAATGGGAACCGCGGTCGCCGGCTCGATCCCGGTGCGTGAGTCTTTTCTTTGTTTTTTCGTTCGGGACCGCTTACCGCACCGCACCGCACTGCACCGTACCGCACCACGATTTAACACGCAAATCGCAAAACATTGGCTGCACCGCACTGCGCAATTTGACATGCGCCGACTCGCGCATTTTAACGTGCAACCCACCACACAACTCGACGTGCAATTAAACATGCAATTCAACGCGCAATTTGACGCGCACTGAACTGTGCAGTGCTTGTCCAACGTTGTCCGTGTAGGCTGTACGGCATTTTGTGAAGCTGTTTTGTTCATGGATGTTGGCTCGCTACAATATAATTGCACCGCATATATACGCATCCGGTTTACTTATTTTCAGATACGGTTGCTTTAAAGCTGGCGGTTGTAGACTAGTTGCGCTGCTGACATAAGCTGCGCGGTATTTCGCGAAGCTGGCCTCTTTACATGCATCGGCTCGCTAACTGATTTTCGCCAGACGACAATATCTCGGCACATCAACGGTTGTTCATCGCCATCGATGGCTATTCATCACCATCCTCGTCTGCACGTCCTACACGATACAAGGTCAGTCCACGTTGCAAAGCAGTAGCAA